TTAACTTGTGTTTAACTCTTGTTTAACTTGTGTTTAACTTGTGTTTAACTCTTGTTTAACTTGTGTTTAACCTGTCCTTAACTCATGTTTAACCTGTCCTTAACTGATGTTTAACCTGTCCTTAACTTATGTTTAACCTGTCCTTAACTTAAGTTTAACCTGTCCTTAACTTAAGTTTAACCTGTCCTTAACTCATGTTTAACCCATGTTAAACCTGTCCTTAACTCATGTTAAACCTGTCCTTAACTCATGTTTAACCTGTCCTTAACTTAAGTTTAACCTGTCCTTAACTTAATTTAACCTGTCCTTAATCCATGTTAAACATGTCCTTAACTCATGTTTAACCCATGTTAAACCTGTTCTTAACCCATGTTAAACCTGTCCTTAACTAATGTTTAACCTGTCCTCAACTAATGTTTAACCTGTCCTTAACTTATGTTTAACCTGTCCTTAACTTAAGTTTAACCTGTCCTTAACTCATGTTTAACCCATGTTAAACCTGTTCTTAACCCATGTTAAACCTGTCCTTAACTAATGTTTAACCTGTCCTCAACTAATGTTTAACCTGTCCTTAACTTATGTTTAACCTGTCCTTAACTTAAGTTTAACCTGTCCTTAACCCATGTTTAACCTGTCCTTAACCCATGTTTAACCTGTCCTTAACCCATGTTTAACCTGTCCTTAACCCATGTTTAACCTGTCCTTAACCCATGTTAAACCTGTCCTTAACTAATGTTTAACCTGTCCTTAACTTATGTTTAACCTGTCCTTAACCCATGTTAAACCTGTCCTTAACTGATGTTTAACCCATGTTAAACCTGTCCTTAACTAATGTTTAACCTGTCCTTAACTAATGTTTAACCTGTCCTTAACCGATGTTTAACCTGTCCTTAACCCATGTTTAACCTGTCCTTAACTGATGTTTAACCCATGTTAAACCTGTCCTTAACTGATGTTTAACCCGTGTTTAACCTGTCCTTAACTGATGTTTAACCCATGTTTATTTAACCTGAACCTGAAGCTTTAAGCTTTAAACTGATGTTTAACTAAATGTTTAACCTGTGTTTGGCCCTATACAGTATGTAAGCCATGTTAAATCTGTGTTCAACACCTGTATTTAACCCATGTTTAACTCCATGTTTAACCCATGTTTAACACAGTTTAACTCATGTTCAACCAAGTATTTACCTGTGTTTGACCCAATGTTTAACCCATGTTAAATGTGTATTTAACATGTTTAACCTGTGTTTCCTGTCAGAGGTTCGACTCAGCTGCACCTCTGACATCAGCACTAAAAACAACAGTTTGACCTGTCAGCTGATCCGAGACAGCATCACAGAGGACGATGAAGATGGAGAAGGAGATGGCATAGAGAAGATGACCATGTGGTAAATATTTAGATTAGATCCTTCCTGCAGGTCAAAGATTCAGAGACTGACTCTGTTCCTCTGTTCAGCCAATTACAGCTGACCGATACAACCAAAGCAGTAAAATGTTGGGAGACTTTCACTGACACATTAACTTCCAAAGATCTGCGTGTTCTGCTTGATGTGAATGTGACTGCCCAGCTGAAGAGAGGAGGACAGGTTTCAACAACCGTCAACCTGCAGAAGATTAGTGAGTATGGAGCATCTGATGACGTGAACCATAGGTCCAACTCAGTAGCAGGTTCAGGTTCAGGTTCAGGACTGTGAGATAGAGTTAGACAACCAGACAGAGATGTCCAGAGGAGGGACAGTGGGTAGATTGGTTTGAACATGTCCAGAGGAGGGACAGTGGGTAGATTGGTTTGAACATGTCCAGAGGAGGGACAGTGGGTAGATTGGTTTGAACATGTCCAGAGGAGGGACAGTGGGTAGATTGGTTTGAATGTGTCCAGAGGACAGACGGTGTGTAGATTGGTTTGAATGTGTCCAGAAGAGGGAAAGTGGGTTGATTGGTTTGAACATGTCTAGAGGACAGACAGTGGGTAGATTGGTTTGAACATGTCTAGAGGACAGACAGTGGGTAGATTGGTTTGAACATGTCTAGAGGACAGACAGTGGGTAGATTGGTTTGAACATGTCCAGAGGAGGGACAGTGGGTAGATTGGTTTGAACATGTCCAGAGGAGGGACAGTGGGTAGATTGGTAGAAGAAAGCAGAGAAAACAGATGCAGGATAAAGGCAGATGAGACATATGGATGCAGTTCAAGAGAACATGGATGCAGTTGGAGTAATGACTCCATGAGAGTGAGGACAGAGGACAATGGTTCCCCTGAAGGGAACAGCAGAAAGAAGATAGAATCAGGTTCAGGTTGGATCAGTAACAACAATAAGCTAAACTGTCTTTTGTCTTCCTGTCTCCTGTTTCTCAGTTAAGCCCAGGAGTCCTTGGGTCTTTAACACCACCTCAGTACTAGAATCCAACCAGACAAGGATTTTTATAAAGATTCCTTACAACGAAGACTTTCTGAAGGTGGACAATCAGGTGTTCCAGCTGCACATCTGGAGCGATGGAATCAACACAGTACTGGGATCAAATTTCATTTTGATTTAAATAAACAGTTGAAATTTTACCAATGATGTGATGTTTGTGGGTTCTCCTGCAGATTCAGAACATCCGGTCAAAGAACTATATCGACATTGATAAGCAGCGCCTCAAAGAAGGCTCAGAGTACCACGTGAAAGTCCGAGCCATCCCTGCTGGGGTCCAACTGCAGGGAACCTGGAGCGAATGGAGCGAGACATTCAGCTTCTTCACTCCTCCTGGTGAGAACATGGGTCTGGTCCTGCAGTTAACCCTAACCCTATCCCTGACCCCAACCAACATGAAGACATGAACATCTGGTCTGTCTTTCAGGAGAAAAAGCTCCAAACAAGATGAATGCGTGGCAGGCGATCATGTTCAGACTCGTTGTGATTTTCATCTGCCTTCTGCTCGTCATCGCCATCATCATCTTCTTCTATAAAAACAAGTAGGACCCCAGTGGTTTCTGTTGAACTGTTGGTGGATTCAGCTGAGTTCTCCTCATTCTTCCTTTCCTTTGTCCTTCTCAGAATATTCACCTACATGTGGCCGAGCATCCCCCATCCCAAACAGACCCTGGTGCACATCTGGAAACCAAATAAAGTTAGTAAACTAACTAACTAACTAACTAACTAACTAACTAACTAACTAACTAACTAACTAACTAACTAACTAACTAACTAACTAACTAACTAACTAACTAAC